AGTCCCCCAATTCTGTGTGAAGTTTCGAAGAAACGGAGAGAGGAAAAGAGATTATCGGGGCTGACCGAAACATGCTGTCGTGGTAATGCTGCTGAAAAACTAATATCTGAATTTTCCAGATAATATTTGAGTAACCAGGTACAAAATTTGGTCAAAATAGGATCGAACAAATTTTTTGGTTGCCAGAATTTCATTCTTTCTACTACTAAAGATTTGATTCTCTGAAACTAAATTGCTTCAGTTTTGTTTCAAAAAATCAAACCTTTGGTTCAAAGTACCAAATATTGGTTCTCACAACCAAAACATTTGTTCCACCTTATTTCAACCAAATTTTGATTAACTCAACTAAATGAGTTTTTCAGTGTACTTGAGCATTCTGTGGTTTATTCTTACTATCACTTCTTGTATTCTTCAAGTCATTCTGTGCATAAAAGTACCGACGTAAGGTCAACGAAAGAGATAAATATTTTTTTCCATATATTATATTTCAACGAAATATTTAATTTCCATATCAAAATAAAAATAAAGTATGGAGTGTTCGGCAAAGTATTTATATCTCACGTTAACCTTACCTTGACATAGATATCATACTTTTTTAGAGATATTGATATGTGTACGTTGAGATATGTTCAATTTTTCTTTTTAATTTGGTAACCTTTGTTGACAAAGATATCACAAACAGTATAATGTGTGGATTCAAACATTTTTTATAAAATTTTATAAGAAAAAGGAGATCTCATGATTGGCCAATATCATATTTGTCACTTTAAAATTAAATCATTTTCTTTTGAAAAGTCGGGTACCCAGAATCCGAATAGTGATGTTCTTATAGTACGTATATACCCGAGTCTCGAAATTTTAGTCTTTCCGTCCTTTAGTTGAAAATTTAGAAGTTCTCTTTTCGACCTATATATTCTATTTTAACATCTAATTTAAAGCCTGAATAATTGATCTCTTTTGATTTTATTTCAAATCTATTGATTTTATTTCAACTATTAACTTTCCTAACAGGTCTTCCTAAAACTTATAAACAGTATTTAGTATGATTTCTGCCACTTGAGATGCGCTAAATAGGATTTCTATGTTTCCATATGTTTTCATGTAAACATACTTTAATTCTTCAGAATATACAGTTATTAAAAAGTTTAGGTTGAAAATAGGATTAAAATTTCGACTCGAGTGGTATACATAAAACAAGAAAACCATGCATAAAGTGAATCAAATAACGTTAGATTGTAAACAATTTCTGTTATATTTTATATTAGAGAAAAATATGTGTGAAGAATAAGTTTTATGATTGAAAGAAATAAATATTGTGGTCAACCACCCTTCTAACCATACAATTTATTTCTTACATATTTTCCTTTGATATAAAACACAATGGAGATATTTTAGAATCTAATGTTAGTTGATTCAATGTTGCTTATTCGGAATGATTTGTATTTGTAAATGTAAGTGGCCGCATATTTGGGTGGTACCCGCGAATTTGGTTGTCCGAGTATCCGGATATCTAATTAAGGCTGAAAATTACTTTTCATAAGCAAAATAAAGCAATAATATTCGGGAATTTATTAAAAAAACTACATGGATATGCGTTTGAATGTTATACATATAATACATGTAATTAATATATTTACATTTAAACAAAAAATTTATTTTTTTAATGGAAATGACGTCACATTTCAAGGCTATTCTAATTGTTGTTTTAGTTTTCTTTTAAATAAAATAAGACAGAAGCAAATTTTAATTAAAAAAATAAAGAATTTTTCTTTTACAAGCCAAAAAATTCAACTGTTTGAAAATAAAAATTTCGGTCCGAGTGATTAAACTACAGTACTATTTGATAAGAAACCTTTTTTCATTTTTTGGTCAGACTGTTGTAAATCATGCAAATCAGGGAGAACGTGCAAGAACTATAGCTTCAGAACGGCAATGGATGTGGTGACGTTATTTTCACACAAAAAATAATTATAAATATTTTTGTTTGAACGCAAATATTATCTATTTACATATATAAAACTCAAACATATTCATATAGTAGTTTTCTTCAAATAAATTCCCGTATTTTGTTGCTTTTTTCCTCCTTTTAATACCCACAAATTAACGCCTGGGTAGCTAAAGAAATATCCGGTTTACACCGATGTCTGCCTACGATTCACCGTTTAGATACTTGAACATTGTGTAACATACCTAATTATTGCTTCCCCCTCGTTATTTCGTTATTGTGTGTTATTTCGCAACCAATGGCACTTGTTCATAGTTTTCACCTGTAAAGTTCTCTCTTGGAGTCATTGAATGCAGGAAAAAAGCTTATTTGCAACACCGAAATCGCAAGAGAAACCAGGTTTCCTTCTAAAGTGTTAATGACTAAAGCGGGGTCTACAATGAGAACTTAAGCTTTAAGCCCTAAGCCGTAAGAAATTGGCCAATCATGGTTGATTATTTTTCTTATAATTGACTGTGATTGGTCAACTTCTTACAGCTTAAAGCTTAAGTTTTATGGCTTAAGTTCTCATTGTAGATCCCGCTTAAGGGAATGTCAATAACGGGGAGTTTCACACTTCTTCCACCTTTGCCAGTGGAGCAGTGAGCTCGTGTAACACAGCTTCGCGAAGTGCGATGCCGTGAAGCGCTCGCGAGCAGCGCGGCTCGCCCTCCTATAAGACGCGTGATTAATTATGCAATTTTTTGCCGTACCGTTAAGAGATATACGCGGGACCGTACAGCGCTACGGTATATTTCTCGGCGACCGTCGACGGGACTCTCGATCGTATCGATTAATGGGCTCGCACGGACACGGCCCTCGTGAATGCCGCGGGAAGAGCGCGTTGTCGCCTTCGATTTGTTCGGCACCGGGGTGGAACCCCGCGGTCTGCCACGGGAGGATCCTCCGGGCTCCTCGCGACCGAAGGACCTTTGTTCACAGTTGGCTCCGCCACCGGAATAATTCGACCGCCATTTTTCTCGCTTTATGCCGGGTAAGCGTTACTAATGGCTCGTTCACGAAGCACGAACCGGGCCGCGAGAGGCCCGTACAGAGGTAAATTTACGTGGTTACGCGCTTACTTACCCAGTTAATAAATAAAGGGCGCCGCGTGAGTCTCTCTCTCGCCCTCTCTCTTTCTCTCTCTCTCTCTCTCTCTCTCTCTCTCTCTCTCTCCCGAAGAAGACGCGCACGAGCGTGTCCGAAGACACGGATTCCGCGACGGGCGCGTTAAGGCGGAAGCGATCGTTCGCTTTTGTACAAAGTTACACGGACGGTCGACACAGGATTACAGGCCCGCCGATCAGAGTGCAATGGCCCGTCGATCGGTGGTCTTCCTGGAGCGCACTCCGAGCGAAATGTCCTCGGGGAGCGACGCATTTCACGGATCGCGCGGTGCACACGGGTCGGCCGGCAATAAAACACACGGGGACAGGCGAGCCGAGAACTCGTTTGACAGTTTTCCACGACGCGAGAAATTCATATTCATTTTGGGCGTGGGCGTGGGTGCCATGCGCCCGCCGGGGGCCAGGTCGAGCAGGATCGTGAATGCATACGTAGATCTGTTTGCGTCTGTGTATGCGTCGTTGCGCCGCCGGTCGACAGGCTGAACACGCATATGTGGAAAGATAGAAATAGTCCAGCCGAGAGAGCGGAGAGAGGGGGAGAGAGAGAGAGAGAGAGAGAGGGACGGCAGTGATAAAAGCCGCCGGTCCACTCGGGGATGATTTACGGCTTGGTGCGGCCATCGGGCGCGATGAAAATGCAAACAGGTGTTCGGACTTCCTCGAATACCTAAATTCATCGGGGCAGAGAAAAAAGTGTGGTGTGTTTTATTCTGGTTATGTATATACAGAGTGTCTGACAATTAATGACAGACCCAATTGTGTGTGTGTGTGTGCAGGTAAAACTCATTAAAACTTTTCTGTCATTTCGCAAACAGTCGCGTAGTATTTTTAGTTATTAATTGAAGATTAGTGAATTATCACGCTTGATATGACAGATAAGCTGTAATGACGACGTCTGCCATCGTGTGCTTGTAGGTCAAACTGGACAAAACAGTCCTCTGTAATTATCATTCACTGCACCCTCATTTTGCCAATAACCACGTAGATTTTTCGTTGTTAATTAAAGAAGGTCGGTGCATTATCATGCATAATCATACATCACACACACATGCACACACACACACACACACACACAGTTTTATGTATATGTATATAAAATTAGCATGATATTGTGTTACGTCACGCGCGCGTCCTATCGAGGCGGCGGGGAGCGATTGCGAATTCTACGGTATAATGAGGTAATGTCACCCAGTAATTTCGAGCGGCACGGCGAACTGCCGCGTTCGTGCCGCGGATGCACGATATACGCATATAGCGACGACGACGGCGACGGCAACGACGGTGGCGGCGGCGGCGGTGGTGGTGGTTCGATAAACGCGCGCTCGCGCTTTTTCCTCAGCCGGAGGACGCCGATATCGGATGTGCCCGGACTTGCAAACGAAGTTTGTGCGAAGACTCGGCTTCGGGAGTTTGCGAATCACCGCTGAAATTCCATTCGGCAGTTTGGCCGCCAACAATAAGGCACCCCCACTCCGCCGCCGCCGTCTATCTCTCCGCACGAGTGTGCATCTACACATCCAAGTACACACACGCATAGAGACACACACACACATACACTTATAGTCGCGACGTGTGCTCCGTTCTACCCAAGGGAGCCATGGGCGGGTACCATGGGCGGAGCTTCTCCATTGCTCACCCCAAACCCTGGTCCACGTCCTGACGAAGTCTTCCGATCCTCTCCGTGGTACCTATTATCACCTACCTGCCCCGCAACCCCCCGAATCGACACGTAGCGTAAGCAGTGTGAGTTCACACTGTGGTGCGCGCGCGCGCATATGTGTGTGGGTGGATGTGCACATGAAGGTAAAGGAGTACGCACCTTCAGTGCGATGGCTCCGGTACTTCGGCGCGAAGTATCGAGTGTGTTCGACCTTCCGCGGGTAATCCATTGTGGGATCGACCCGACTTGTCACGGATATAGATAGTAATTGACGGTATCGACGATGGAACGTGAAAGACCTTGGATGGCACTCACCTGGGGCCCAGTCCGGGCTGCGGTTATCACTGATGTTAGACGCCGATCACGCAAGTGTATGCGAATGCCATCCCCACGCATCCTGGGCAAGTGCGTGTGAGAGTGTGCGAGAGTGCCGTTGGCCCAACCCTGCTTCCATCCCGAGCTCGTGGTAGGGACACCGTCGAGAATGCCAGTCTTCTCCGAGCACGGAGCCGAGTAGCATGCTGTGTCGATCCTTTGCCAGCTGTGCTGGAACGTCGCCGCGCATCTGCGCAAACGAATGATAACTGATAACCGGAAACGCTCGGCTAGATCGGGTCGCAGGAACCGAGTTGCGGTGAGTTCGTGAAACGAAAGTTGGTGGAGAACGCTTACGGAGGACTCGGTACATGGGAGGGAGCGGTAGGAGGGTGGAAGAGAGGAAGAACAACGCGTGTGATCCGCGAATGAGATCGCTCCGATAATGGAGATAAGGAAGAGAAGAAGTACGTGAATGCGCGTTCTCTGGGATTAATCGCAACAGTGTAAACATGAAGGTTAGTCTTCTTATCTTATTCGTCGAATAGGTCTAAAATCCTGACCCAATGAAAGAGTAATAAGCCCTTTTCAAGACCGATGTTATTTCCGGCTAAAAGCGTTTCCCATTGCTACCTGAAGTTGTAATCCCTAAGCTTTAGGCAAATTAGGCTAGATTTCACGTGTTAAAGCAGCGCGGGAAACGCTTTTTCACAAAAATTATAGTTCTTAGAGCAAGAAGCTAACTGGGGCTTACTACACTTATTGTTGCCAAAACGACATTTGGGACGATATTCATAGTCAGATGTTATATTTAAGGTCGTCTAAGTCCATCTTCACTATGTAATACTATATAATACTATATAATACTATATAATACTATGGCTGCGTACCGAAATGCACTGCCAGTACTGAAAATCTATAGTTCATGTTACGTATATTATAGAATTTCAGCACTGGCAGTAAATTTCATTATAATACTATATAATACTACTGGAGCTACTAGTAAGCTTACTAGTGGTACTGTTGTGGACCGGGACTTTTTATAGTTGCGTTAAGCTGCACTGAGCATGTTCGCCATGGGATAAATGACACATAGTATCATGGAAGAAAGAGAGTTTCATCCGAAACCAGAAAAAATTATAGGGCAAAAACCTATTCCATTCTGCATTTCTTAGGTTCTATCACATTCGGCAAAAAGGATTTTAAACGTACTTTACTTACAAAAATAGTTTAAAGGAAATAAAAAAAGAGATCACAAGATAAATTAGAGAAGGCTAGGTCAAAAAGTTTTCTTGGTCACATGATATTTGTAAAATTTTTTTGTGAGGAGAAACTGTGAGGAAACTATGAGGGAACGAATCTTCTGTGAGTGGAAGATTCTTTTAGGGCGTAGGTATGTCGCATGAGATCAAGGGATGTCCATGAGACAAACGACCATGTCTTTCCTCTAAGATATGCAAGGAAAAGAAGTGATTGATCACGAAAAACCGTTACATACCAACCGTTTTTCTTGTTGTTTTGACAAAAAAGTGATCGCTTTATTACTACTTTTTAGCAAAAAAGCATACAAAATTATTTTCTGTTATTACTGTAATAGCTACAAAAATGATTACCTCAGTTATAATTATTTCCGCTATGCGTAGTTACAGTCACAACTGATAATCATGTTTTCTTGATATGGTTCAGATAGTGCACCTATAAAGACGACACTTGGGATGATATTCATTGTCAGATGTTATATTTAAGATCACCTAAGTCCATCTTCACTATATAATATTATACAATACTATATAATATTATATAATACTATATAATACTACATAATACTATATAATACTATATAATACTATATAATATTATATAATACTATATAATACTATATAATACTATATAATACTATATAATATTATATAATATTATTTTATTGACTACTTTCAAGCAGCATCTGACAATAGGCTCAAGACTCTTAAATATTAGATCGCACTGGCCCTAATTAAGACAATGAAGAGCTAAATAGGACAATGAATATTTGCCCTAAGACTTATTCTTTTTACCTGCTAGTGCTGCCCAGGAACTTTGTTCCTTTTCCCTTCAATATTAGGTTATATAGAATATCTCAGATTCTCCTTTACAATTTTTATGGGAACGTAGACTGGATTGAACATAAAAGTCCTCTCGTTTTGCGATATTCGCAATAATAGTCGAGGTATTAAGTAAAGAAGATTAGTGAATGATCACGCGCGATATGATAGATGAGCTGTAGCACTGTGTACTTGTACATTAAGTCAAATTGAATAAAAGAGCCCTTTATCATTTTGCAAATAACTACGTAGATTTTTAGTTATTAATGAAAGAAAACTGTTACACAATTGTTGCACAATAATGCACAAATCTTTTTTAATTAATATCTACAAACCTATGTGATTATTTGCAAAATGGTAGAGGACTTTTTTGTCCAGTTTGACCTAATGTATAAGTATAAACAGTAATGTATAGTATAACGACAGATGACATCACTATCTCATCTACTATATTGCGCGTGATCATTTGCTAATTTTCTTTAATTAATATCTCGATAATTATTGCGAATATCGCAAAACGATATGGGACTTTTATGTTCAACTCAATCCGTTCTACGTTGCCACAAAAATTGCGGAAGAGAGTCTGGGACACCTTGAACACTCTTTTCACTCTAAAGGCAGAAACTGCAACACCCAGTTCAGCTGAAGGATATATACTTATAATATTTAAAAGACACATTTACGTAGGTTTCGCACATGCTTCGGGCAGCTCCCTCATCCTCATCCTCATCCTTAAGGTCGGTTCTACAATAAATCGGATATCAGGGAGTCGATTGTGTATCTCGAAACGAAGTGAAGACCTAAATAGGAATGAATATTCGCCCTAAGACTTATTCTTTTTACCTGCTAGTGCTGCCCAGGAATTTTGTTCCTTTTTTCTTCAATATTAGGTTATATAGGATATCCTTTATAGGATAGACTCTATAACTCTATAGGACTCTATAGGATATCCTTTATAGGATAGACTCTCCTTTGCAATGTTTGTGGGAACGTAGACTGGATTGAACATAAAAGTCCTCTCGTTTTGCGATATTCGCAATAATAGTCGAGGTATTAAGTAAAGAAGATTAATGAATGATCACACGCGATATCACACGTAGATGAGCTGTAGCACTGTGTACTTGTACATTAAGTCAAATTGAATAAAAGAGCCCTTTATCATTTTGCAAATAACTACGTAGATTTTTACTTATTAATGAAAGAAAATTGTTACACAATTAGGAAACGAAATTACAGAAGTGAGCAAGTTCACTAGGCACTGACCAATGAAGTTACAAATATTCTAGTAAATTTGTTCACTTTCACTCCGTTTTGAGATGCACATTCGACTCCCAGAATGCAATTGATGGTCCAATGAGGAGAAGTTTATGGAAAATAGACTCTATCATTGGATCATTGACTCCAACGACGACGCATTGTACAACTGACCTGAAATCAGAGACTCTGCTTCCGCGTCCGACTCTTGCCAAAGTCTCCTAACGAAGTCTCGCAGGGAAGAGGTCCGGTAGCTTGCCGATACATCCGGTAGTCCGGGTAGCCTCGCGCAGCGTTCGGCGCGGCGGCAGCGGCGAGCCGCAGCGGCGGGCCGGTCTCTCTGCTTCACCTCCGCATTTCTCACTTTGTCAGCTCATCTACATCGGCTCGGGCCCGGCTCGTTGACGAATAAAAAATGGCACCTATTATTCTTTCTTACCACTCGCTGATTGCAGAAAGCGGGACTCCAAAACGAGCAACGGACGCGAAAATGGAACTCGTCAGTTCGAATTTGCGTGGGAGAATTTTGTCAGGTCTTAATCTTTTCTCGAGAGGGGGGGGAAGGGGGGGGGGAGCGTGTGCGCACACGCGTGCTGAACGTCATTACGAATGTGTTCGCGAATCCCTACGAGTCGTAACGGTAACTTAGCGGATAACGAGCGTTTCGGAATCGATCAATTTTCCTAAATCGCGCACCCAGATCGTACGTTATTATGCACAGAGAGAACGATTTATTGATTCAAATAAATGTTTCTTTGGAACAGTCCAAATGAATTGTTTGGTTGACGCAACAAAAATATTTCTTTGGAACTAAGCCGCAAATAAATATTTTTGTTGCTTCAAACAACATTTTGTTTGATCAATCAAAAAATTCGTTTGGACTGTTCCAAAGAAGCGTTTATTTGATTCAACCAAATCGTTCTCTCTGTGTGCTGAAATAGAAAAGTTTGGTATTTATAATTATGATTGCACAGGGAAATAATTATAATTGGAGAAGCTATTTTTGTAATAGACATTACTGCAGCGTTGTTAACCTCTCAAAAGCTCATTAAATTCTCTTGATTGAGCATTAAACTAAAGGCATACTTTAACGAATTGAAGTAGAAAATAATTATGACAATCGAATATATATTATCTGGGCAGCACTAGTTCAAGTAAAAAGAATAAGGGCAGGTCATTGTCTTATTTCTTCATTGTCTTAATGAGAGCCAGTTTGCATAGTGCGATCTATTTAAGAGTCTTGAGCTTATTGTCAGATGCTCTAAAGTATCTGAAGATGGACTTATGGACCTTAAATATTCCGACAGAACTTTAAATGGACACGCAAGGAAAATTACGCGAATAATATATTGAGAGAAAAGTAGTATTTACGATTATAATTTCACGGTTCAAATGTTTATAGTCGGGAAAGACATTTTTGTAATAAAGCTTTTGTGGTAGCTATTTACAAAAAATAACGATACACAGAAAAATATCATTCTACTGTCAAGAAAAACGATTAATCAGTTTACTTTTTTTGTTTTGTGTAATGATATTCTTTGGCAAAAGATATATTGAGTGTAGTGTTAAAATGTAGTGTTAAAATCACCTATCAATCGAGAACTCATCACAAACTTGAGAAAATTATTATGTACTAAAAAGAATTGATTCTCTTTAAAAGTATATTATAAAACCTTATTGAAGAAAAAGTCGATGCAACTCTATATAGTAAGAAAGTAAATCGTTTTTCTATTTTAATTTAATATTGTAGACTGGAACAGTGAACTTACTGGGACTCAGAATATATTTTGAATAAATTTGATGCTTATAATGAACTTTTGATAAATTTGCAAATATATAATGAATATATAAGCTTACAAAATATTATTTTAATGTAAACTTATAAATATATCACATAAACTTATAGCATACTTGAAGTAAGTAACATTTACTTGAATATAGTATGTATCTTTTCGTGTACACACATATGAATATTGCCGCTACTATCTTTTGTTAGAAGAACAAGAAAATTGATTGACGCAGAAAACATTGACATTGACTGTAACTTGCAACGAGATAAACAATGTTTTCTCTCAATGAAAAAAGGACGTTCCTCAATTGAATATAATGCTACGAAAGCGGAATATTCAGCCTGGCAGGCGACAAACGTAATGTTGCAGGGTTGGTCCCTAAAGGATCAGTGG